TCATAGTTTTTGTCCCTAAAATACAAAATAAAAAATGGGAAGGGGGGCCCAGGGTTTAGCTCAGTGGTTCCACGCCTGCCTTGCAAGCACAAGAACCCAAGTTTGATCCCTGGAACCAAAACAAAACAAAACAAAAAATGGAAAATACAAAATAAAAAATGGGCAGGGGGCCAGGGATTTAGCTCAGTGGTGCCACTGCCTGCCTCACAAGTACAAGGTCCCGAGTTCCATCCCTGGTACCCACAACCACGCACTCCCGCAAAGAAAGCAAGGGGCCGCGGATTTAGCTCAGTGCTTCCACCGCCTGTTTTGCAAGCACAAGGACCGGTACAAAAAAAAAAAAAAAGAAAAAAGGCAGGGATGTAGCTCAGTGCAAAGACTCCGAGGGGGTAAAAAGTCATAAAAGAATTCTAGGGTACTAGATTATCATAGAGCCTGGACAGGGAAATTGCCGGTTTGATTGAGCCCACCTGACATCTTAGAGAAAGTAGGTTTCATTTTATACAGGTCACAGAGGACACATCAGCAGGCCATAAGTAGTCTCTAGAGGACATGTCCGCAGGTCCCAGAGGACATGTTCAGCAGGTTACACGTGGTTACCTGAGGACATGTCAACAGGTTACAGAGGACAGAGATGACACATCAGCTTGCAGTTTCTCCAACCCACCCCCTCAAAACCCTGCCAAAAAATGGTATAAAAAGCCTCTTAGACCGTATGAGACACCTTCTCTGGTCTGCTTGCACAGAGAGGTCCCTCCCAGGTATACCAGTAAACCTGCTTGGACTGCTGCGTTTGCATTCCCTGTTTCTCACTAAGTTTGCATTCCCACAACCACTATGGAAGTTAGTATAGAGATTCTCCAAAAAACTAAAACTAGAAATTTCCTTTTATCTGTCTATTCCCGTTCTAGGTATCTTCCTAGAAGAGTTAAAGATATCATATTACAGTGATAGGTACATATCCATGTTTATAGCAGCACAATTTATAATAGCTAAATCTTGGAAACAGCCTTTATGGCCATCAACAGGTGAATGAAGAAAATATGGTATTTATACACAACAAAGTACTACTGTGCCATAAATATAAACTTGAACACAGGTAAATGGATGCACCTTGATATCGTAATGTTAAGTGAAATAAATCAGACACACAAGTTTAAATGTCACATGGTTTCTCTTATATGAGAGACCCAGATAAATATAAACAAAGTGCAAAATTAAAAATAATAGGAAGTAGGGAGGTCTTTTTCAAATGAGGGAGAACAAGAGATGGGGTGAGGGGACAGAAAAAGAAAAGACGGAAGAAAACAAGTGGAAATGAGAGTTTTTGCAAATGGGAATGGGACCAAGAGATGGAAGGAGCAGGGAGATGAGAGGGGTAGGGGATGAAAAAAGAATTAAGATGGGGTATGTACATATACCAACTCCCCATGATAAATGTAATTATGTAATGTACTACAAACATATACTAATAAAAAATTTAAAAAATAATGCTAGGGTTAGAGGCATTTCAGAAGCTGTCTTAGTCACTCTTCTTGCATCTGGAACAAAACATCAGGTTTCAGTACACAGTGGCTGTCTCCAAGGCAAGATGGGACGGCACAGATGCATGGTGGAAGAATTAGCTGTTCATAGAAGACAGGAACCAGAATGTAGAAGAGGAGCCCTAGAGGAGATATAACCTTCTGGGCCATGCTCCAGACACCTGCCTCTAAGACCAGACCCCACCTCCTAACAGCAAGTCAGCTACAAGCCTCCATAATCCAGTCACTTTCCAAAATCCCTGCCTATGAGCACATGAGCCTCTTGATGGACATCTAGATATAAACCCTAACAGAAGCTATTGATTAGACATAAACCAAATCACTTCTCCTTGTTCCCATACCACAATCAACACAGGAGACTCTGTGATCCCATAACATGCAGATTTCTCCCTGCCTGCCAACAAGCAACTCTGCAGTAATGGGCCTCAGTTAGGTGCCTTTGTTGCAAATCAGTTCTGATCACCTATCTGGAAGCAGCATCAGATCCCACAGGCTGAGGGATCGTTTTTAAAATGGCCCTGCTTCACACCCAGCCCCAAATCCAGGCCTCTGGAACTTCTCACGGACAAGCTACCAAGAGGGGTTCCCACAGACCCTCCACAGATGTAATAAATTAGCTAGGGCAGCTCACAGAACGCAGAGAAACAACCACTGATGTTTCCTGCTTTACTATGAAGGACATCTTACAGAAAACATATAAGCAGCCTGCAGAGATACACAGGATGAAGTATGGATGACACTCATGATGCTTAGTGCCATGTGGTGGCTGGAACCTGGGGGCAGGAGAGAAACTGCTCTTGTCAAAGCTGTCTGGAAGGGACTTAGGGTTTGGAGGTGTGGAACATATTTATATTATTCCTGATCACTAAAACCTCCTCACTGTTGCTTTGGACTTGCAGCTGGCAGGGTGTCTGCGTAGGAAGCTGGCTTTGATCTTGCTCAGTTCTCCTTCCCGACTGGAACCATGTTTGGATCCAGCAGAGAGCTGTGCTGCTTTAGCTCTGTAATCTAACTGTCTACCCAAGAGGTGTGGAAGTGTTGCATTACCTGTCTCTTCTTGGTTGGTTTAAAAATACAAAAGGAGGAACCTCTTCCACTGTTGCTGTTGCACAGAATGGAAGATGCATGCATCTCTGGGACCGTGCAGGTGCATGTCCGATAATGGCACAGTGTCCCAAGGCCCCGTACACTCAGGTGGGTTGTCACTGTCCCCACAGAGTGGATGTGGACTGCTCCCTGCTGGAGTTAGGTCCTGTGGCTCATTATCCAGTGGGGATGTGGGCCTCATAGCGGAGATTTTGCTCCGTGTGACCCTTGGAAATGGACCCAGTGGTCAAAGTTTTGTTAAACCTCTGTCATGAATTCCTCCTTGATGTACCCTCAGGTCAATGGATTAAAATAAGGGCTTCCCACAGG